CGTCGGGAACTGGCCCCCGCACGTGACGGATGCTGCCCTGGCACCCTTGATGAGTTGGGATCTCCCCGCCGAGCTGACTGCTCAAGCGCTCACTCCGACCAAACGGGTGGAATATGCGGCGGGGAGCTTGGGTCGTGCTTTGTGCATGCAGGCGGCGGCCCTGGCCGACTTCAAAAAGATGAGCAGCAAACTGGCAAGGATTACGGCCGACCATGCCGTTTGCAAGGACATGATCCACTCTCTCCAGGACGACCTCAAGAAGTCCGAACTGCTGCAGATGAAGATTGTCGAACTTGAAGGTGANGAAGGTGGTTCGATTGGAGGAAGTGAGGCTGATTGAGCAGGCAGACAGTGCCAAAAAGCAGCTGGCCGAGGCCGAAAATGAGCTTGCTGCGGCGAAATTGAATGCTGAGGAGGCCGTCCGGAGACTTGCTGCAGCCGAACGGGAAAGGGACACGGCGCTGGCCGAACATGAACGACTCCGGTCCGAGTTGGAGGGAGCGGGACGATCCCGCGGCTCATATAAAAACGGCTTCGAGAGGGGTCGTTTGGCTGGGTTGCAAGAGTACAACAAGACGGACAAATTCCTGGCCGACATGGACTTGAACGCGGCGTTCGAACTGAACTGGGTTATCCATGCAAGGATGGAGGGAAGACTCTGAAGGACCTCGAGGCTATTCGTGATATCAAATTCGAGCGGCTGGCTCTGCCTGAGGAGATGAAGATTTCGGCCGTGATCGCAGATGACGATGAGAAAACCTATGACAGCCGTCTGATGGACTCCACCTTTTCCAAATCCGCCGCGGATACGACCGGGGCCGGTCCGAGCCACCCTCCCGACCGTCAAGGCGAAGGAACGGGCGAGAATGATGAGGATGCTGGGAACGGACAGCCACCCCCTGTTTGACTTTCGATCACTTTCTAGTTGTTATTTCTATTTTTCCTTTAAGTATGTCTGCGTGTGTTGCTTGTTGTTTTGAACAACTTATTTTAATTTGCATTTTCGAATGTTGGTGTGTTCCGAGCCCGGGGATGGTTTACTCCCTGTAG